TCCCTTCGACAGCAAAGAGATCAAACCAGTCAATCCCGAAAGAAATCAGCACTGAATATTCATCGGAAGGACTGATGCTGAAGCTAAAGCTCCAATACTCTGGCCACCTGATTCGAAGAGCCAACTCACTGTTTTAAAAAAAAAAAAAAAAAAACCCTGATGCCAGGAAAAGATAGAAGACAGGAAAAAAGGGTGACAGAGGACGAGATGGTTGGATGGCAGCACAAACTCAATGGACGTGAGTCCGAGCAAACTCCTGGAAATAATGTAGGACAGGGAAGGCAGGCATGTTGCCGTCCATGGGGTCACAAAGATTGGACACGACTGAGCAGACTGAACAACACAAAGAACAACAGTGCTTCCCTAACGGCTCAGACTGTAAAGACTGCAATGCAGGAGACCAGGGTTCAATCCCTGGGTAAGGAAGATCCCTGGAGAAGGGAATGGCTACCCATTCCGGTATTCTTGCCTGGGAAATCCCTGGAGACAGAGGAGCCTGTGGACTGGTTCATGGGGTCACAAAGAGTTGGACATGACTGAACAACTAACAGTACTGCTACTACTACCACTGTCCACTACTAATGGACAATAGTAATAAACAAACAATAGTAAGCTATTATTTTATTTACACAATACCCACAAATATCTGATGATGTAAAGAAAAAAATATGGAAAAATATGTTTTCTGTAAGTAAAGTCAAGGTCTTAGCATCTTCTCCAGATAGGGAAGATCAAGGCTTTCTTTTTTGCTTTTGTGTTTTCAGACTTTTCATGAATTACACATTGTTCTTGTAATACAAAAACAAAACTTCATGGGGAAATTAATTTTTAAAAATTAAGTGGTGTTTTCACTTAATTAAATACTAGTTCTTTTACATATTTAAAAAACTTCATTTTAAAACATGTACAACTAAAAACAGCTTCAAAATATCTTAAACTATGTTTTTAACCTAATAGTGTCCATAATGTAATACAGCAACCATCTTTTCCTCAATTACTAATCTCCACAAAGAAATCAATTTTCTATACTAACTTTGAAACGTAAGCACATTTTCAAAATAAAACTCCTTTACTCTAAGTCTACTAGCCATCATTGTTAGCAATAATAAATCCATTGGATAATTACTTTCAAATTTCATTTTAATATTAAGCTAAAGCAAAAAAAGCAAATTTTGGAAATATGGTACTCTAAAATGTTTCATAGATGATCAATTATATAGTCAAAAGCAGAAATCACAGAGCTTTCAAAATAATTCTATCTTCTAAAGAGAAGAACTGAAAATTCACTCAGCCATCTTAGAGACCACACATTTCCATGGAATACCATGGAAACTTTCCTCTCCAAGTGCCAGAAACTGAGTGACTTACTTTCAACTTCTATTTAAAATTATATTCTGCCCACGGCTATGCAAGTTGCAGTGCTATTACAAAGCTTAAAATCATATACATCAGTTAAAAAGCATTTTAATGACTCCAAATGGGCACAAGGCTTTTTGAGGGGGTAACGAAAATGTTCTAAAATGAGACTGTGGTAATGGTTACACAATTCCATAAATATATTATCAATACTATCAGAGAATGTAAATGCTATCTGAAAATTTTAAAAAAAAAAAAGCATCTTAAATGGCACAGTAGTATAAACCCTGTAATGCTGCACTCCAGATAAAAAACGGCTATAACCAAGTTTGTATATAAAATTACATGCCCATCAAGTGATTAATTACCATATTTCCCATTTTTCCAATCCCTATAGTTACCTAGCTTCAAACAAGAGTTAAGTTTTTATCTCTTTAACAACCACAGATCTACTGTTGTTAAGTAAAAAGAGCAGGACGCAAAACAAAGTATTTGTGTAAATATTTGGGGGAGGAAAAAAATATTCTATTTTAGATTGCATCTTCAGCTTTTCACTGGTTCCAACTAATTTCTGAAATGAAGTTTCAATTCCAGTAACAACTTTTAATTAGTGTCTACAGAGCACTGCCTCAAGCATGATGATACTGGCCACTAACCCCATGACTTTGAAACTCTTCAACGTTAATTCACACTCACTGCCAAGTGTGTGGTGGGAGGCAGGGCAAAGAAGGGGGGAAAATGAGGAGAAAAATCAGAACCACCAGTATATTGAAAACCACCGCTGAAAGAAAAAAAAATACACCAAAATGTTAACTGTTATTCTAGCTTTTTCTGATAGTTTCTAAAAGCCCTCACTGACCATGTATTACTTTTTAAATTTGAAAACATTACTTAAAATTACTTCCACGTTAAACTAAAGAACCCAAACTCAAAACAGTATTCTCTATGATTCTCTGTTTAGGATATTATGGAAAAGGGAAAACTATGGGGACAGAAACCACCCTAGAAACCACCTAGAGGTAAGGAGAGAGGATGACTACAAAGGGACAAAATGGAAATTTAGGGGATGATGGAATTATTCTATCCCTTTATCCTGTTGGTAGTGATTACACAACTGTTAGCATTTATCAAAGCTTACATAATCATCAAAGATGTTTTTAAAAAGATGCATTTTACTATAGGTAAATTAATCTAAAAAAATTCATGAAGCTACAATTAATAAAGTGCTTGTGCGGTGAGCCAGTTTTTTCCAAGTGGACAGTTTCATGTGATAAAAAGTATTATAGACTACTGAACTACTCCAAACATCTTATTTTACACAAAACAATATAGGACTAGGGATATTTGGTCAACAGTGCATTGCTAGATAACATTAAATAAGCTGAAGTATGTAGAGCCCTAGAATTCCTATTTGTTTAAATTCAAATGTAGGGCTCCTTCCACTTCATCATCCTTACTCTTCCAGAGTTCTGAGGACCATAGCTTCCACAAAGTACAAGTGGATTATTGCAGGACATAAAATTCAAAATGTTCAAGTGCTACCTCAGTAGATTCAAATGTGGCTTGGGTCCTTCCCAACCTCTGCCAAAGAACCACCTTACTACACTTTGTTAGCAAAATAGGTGTAATGGACTCAAAAAGTCTAAGAATCAAGCAGATTTTGTAGAGTATGGATAGATACCATGGATAAACTATAGAGTTCCAAAACAAGGACAAAAGCAAAAAAAAAAAAAAAAAAAAACAGGCAAAACCAAGGTAAGATGGTAAACAATCTTTACTAAAGCTTGCGAACTGACGGTATTATTGAACCTTTTAAATTTTTTACAAAACGTAAACGTTTAGCAAATGAACATAAAATATACTTGCATAAAAAGAAATGGTGTATCATTTATCGTCATGCTGAAAATAATTTGTTAAAGCAAAACAATCTTTCCTGTGTTTCGATATGCCAGGAAAAAATGCATATCTCCACTACACAAGAATTCAACAGCCGAATAGTGAGAATAATGCAAAAATGATGAACCTTATCTACCCTTGACAGTAAAGTCTGATAAAGCCCACCCTTTGTGCAGCTTGCCACAACTGTTATCTGCAGTCTTTCAAAGAAGGCAACCATTAGAACAGGTTAATGAAGTTATCTACTCAAATTTTACTCAGGGCTCTTGTATGACAAGAAGTTGTAAACCCAGAATGATAGTGGAACTACTCTTTAGGACTCCTTTCCACCAGTCACTGTTTTCACTTTATGTTAACCACCTAAGAAGATTGAAACTTGTAAAAAGCTTAGAGAGATCTTAAGATGCCAACAGTGATTCTCCACTATGCTATAACCACGTGACAGCTAAACCAATTTCACACAGCTAATTAGTAAACTAGAAAAGGAAAACGCTAAAAATAGGAATTACGACCACCAAGTAAGAGAAAGTTCCGTGGGAGATACTAGGTACGCTGAAACTAAACTCAGAATACATTCTGCGTACTCACAATACTACTCCTGTATTAGGAGAAGGCCCTTCATAAAAATAGCCAGGACTCTCAAACATTTGAGATGCTGGCTTAGTGAGATTGACTGACAGACAACAGCTGGGGAGATTTTTGTATTGATCTTGTAACATCGCGGCATTACTTTGGGAGAAAAGGAGAACCGGGAGAAAGGACTGTTATAATGGCAAGACTAAACTTGTAAGGATTTCATTTTCAACTATGTGACCCCTACACTGGAAGCCCCTAATAAATTCCTCTACTCTCGAATTCCTCTTCCGTTTTCCAGACTCGATCCCACAATAATGCACCTCCTTCTTCCCAAATAAAAAACGTGTGTAGGGGTAGGGGTAGGGGTAGGGGTGGGCGTGGGGGGGGAGGGAGGGAATCAACACCCTCCCAAAACACTGGATAACTGGAAAACAAACTAGTTACCTCCCCACCTGTGTTTTCTTAACCCATCTCACATTTTAAACCTTAAAGCCTAGAACTCTCGCCTTTTCTTCCGTAGTAGAGGGGCTAAGGCGCCGCCCAATTTCCCAGGCCAAAAAAAAAAAAATTTCTACCCGCCACATTTCAAGGTTTTCTAGTTTTCTCTTCGATCCTAATCTTCAATCCTGCACTCGCTCTCTCTTCAGACAACTGAAGTTTATTAGCCCAAAACCCTAGTACAAAGGTGAATTCCTAAGATTCCGCAAGGCGCCCCCCAAGGGGGTGGGGAGGGGTCGCAGCCGCGGGCCGAGACGCTCTCGCTCGGCCCAGTCCGAGGGGCGGGGGAGTGGCTGTGACCATACAATCCCACCACCTTCTTTTCACGACTCCCCCCACCTCTCGGCGCTCGGGCCTGCTCCCAGGAAGCTCCCTGCGGCCACTCGGCTTCTCCTCACCGGCTCGCGAACGGCCACACTAGCATCCAAGAAAAAGGTTCATAAGTAGGAATACGCAAGAGATGTTCGGCGTGTTGTTTCAAAACATAACGGAGCCCGGGCCCCCGAGACCGTTAAACCGCGGGTGGAGGGGGGAGAAGAGATGAACCCAGTGGCCTCAGGCTTTGTCCTGGCCGCCTTTTTCGACCCCAAACGCCACTATGTTGAACCACCAACGCTCCCCCAAACCGGCCCGAGCCCCCAGAAGAGCCAACGAAGCAGCAAAAGGGTCGGTACCTTGTAGAAAGCCCCGTTGGAGCCGCGAACCTCCACCGTCAGCTCCGCCATGTTGGAACCGCAAAGGCCGCTGGGAAGAGATTCTAGAAACTTTCCAACCAGAGGGGAGGAGGGGGGAGGGGCGTGAAGGAGGCGGGGGAGGGGCGGGGAAAACAGGGCGGGACTAGGATCCCCCGCCCCACACCCCTGGGGTCTCACCGTGCCCCCCCGGCTCTCCCAGCGGGATCCCTCCGCTCCTTACATCACTCGCCCCCAGCCCCGCCCGCCGTCGCCAACGCCCCGTTCGCCTACCGACACAATCGCCCGACCTTTGCTGACCCGCCCTACGTCTCCGCCCCTAAGGGCCGGGTGCTCGCCCGCCCCAGCCGGTCGGGCCCTCCTGCTGCCCGGGAGTGAACTGCCCCGGCACCGCTTGCCCCACGCGTCTGCGTTCCGCCAGGCTCGGCTCGTTGCCCTGAAACTTCCTTGAGGTGCTGGAAGCCCTGGAGTAGCTTCCTTATCTGGTGAAAAGCAACTCTGGTGGCTTCAGTTGCACACTGGCACAAACTTCAGAGGAAAGAGGGAACCAAAAAATGTACATACTATGTGCCGTAAATTCTGTAGCCTCGCTTTCTTAAAAAAAAAAAGTACATTGGTGGCTCCCTCCTGACTCCCAATCCCTCAGTTACACACCTCCTCACAGTTCAGTCCAGCCCTCTCCCCACCTGTTAACCACTTCCAGTTCAGTTCAGTCGCTCATGTCCAACTCGACGACTCCATGGACTGCAGCACACCAGGCTTCTGTCTCCATCACCAACCAATTCCGCTGTTTAAAAAGTTAAACTAAGTATTTCCAGTTCAACTTAGATGTATTCATAACCCAGGAGGTAATACCATTGTTAGAAGTAATCATGAAAACAATACAGCTGAAGGCGTAGGAACGTCCACACACAGGATCAAAGCAGAACCGATTTGTATGGCTCTTCTACCAGAACCTACACCAATACCATTGTGTTATAATGGAGATACTCTGAATATCTAACAATACTGAAATTTTTTCCGAAAGCAAGGCCTTTGGAAATAGTACTGGAAGTATTCTTTACTGTGTGTTGTATTACCATTTTGACAGAAAAACCCCAGAAAAGGATGCTTTGCTGGCACACTACGCTCTTAAGGAAATGCCCAGGGGCCTAGCCCTGGCGTTTGTGAGCAAGGGGGTCCTTTAAAATGTACGTAAAATTCCATCTGCGTTTCGAAGTGCTCCATATTGCTATGGATGGAATGTTCCTTTTAAAATGCTCATCATTGTGAGGAAAACACAAGCACACTACTACATCAATGAGTAACAGCCACCGTTTATTAAGGGCTTCATGTGTGTCTGACACTTCATATAATCATCTTGCTATGATCCTTCAGAATTAAAATACTGTAGTTTGCTTTTTTTCCCCACAGCTGTATTGAGGTATAATTCACATACCGCACAATTCATCCATTTAAGGTGTACAATTCAATGGTTTTTTTAGTGCATTTACAGAGTTGTGAAATCATCTCCACAATCAATTTTAGAACATTTTTATTATCCCCCCCAAAACCCTGTATCTGTTGACATTCCCCATTTAACCCTATGGTAGCCATGCGTTCCAGGAAACAAACTCACTCAGGACAATGCAGATAGTGGAGGGCAGTTTATTACACCGGCAGGCCCAAAGCAGTCTCCTCTTAGCCAAGGACCCCAACCAGTCTTTGTTAAAACCTTGTATACCCTAAGTGTATAAGCTTCCCTGAAACTAGTCAGGAAAAAAGAAAGATACAATCAAAGTTAACAGGTGATTCACATACCTTAAGCCTAGGTAGTTAACAGTGGACAATTATCAACAGGCTTGTGGTCATACCCCAATAACCATAATAGAATGTATAATTCTATTCGGTTACACAGATAATTAGGGTATTCTTTTAGGCATGGAGAGCCCTGAAGCACTTCCTTCTGGGGGCCTGGTTTTCCAGTTGGTAGGTCGTTTCTGCAGATACTGGACATATAGCTCAAAGTCTGGCCCAAGATGGAGTCCTGCTTTCAAGATAGAGCCTGTTCTGTTTGCTCCTTCAATCCCAATCCCCAAAACCCTAAGCAACCACTAATCTGTTTTCTTCCTTTCTTTCTTCCTTCTTCTTTCCTTGGCCTTCACATTTGTTCCTGAATGTCAATCACTTTGGGTAGGGCTATGAAAGTTCCATTTGGACTAAGGTCAAGTTATTTGAACATTGAAGAATAAAGATTATTCCTCTTCAGGCCTTGTATGCTAAAAACATTTTGAGTTTGAACACCCCCAACCCATCTCCATTAACTCCTGCTTTTAATAGACAGAACTTATAACTTCCACTAAACAACAGAGATTTATAGCAATCAGTTATATATCTAAGATCACCTAAGTTCTAAATTAGCAGAACTGGAATTTAAGTCCCACCTCTTTCCATTTCCAAAGCTCACATCATGATCCAGTTTGTTGTTGGCATGTATGGGAGACTTGGGTCCCATCCCTGGCTTGGGAAGATCCCCTGGAGGAGAACATGGCAACCCACTCTGGTATTCTTGCCTGGAGACTCCCCATGGACAGAGGAGCCTGGCGGGCTTCGGTCCATGGTGTTGCAGTGTCAGACATGACTGAGCGACAAAGCATAGCACAGCACATATACAAATATATATCAGTTCAGTTCAGTCGCTCAGTCATGTCCGACTCTTTGCAACCCCATGAACCTCAGCACGCCAGGCCTCCCTGTCCATACCAACTCCCAGAGTCCACCCAAACCCAAGTCCATTGAGTCAGTGATAGCATCCAACCATCTCATCCTTTGTCGTTCCCTTCTTCTCCTGCCTTCAATCTTTCCCAGTATCACGGTCTTTTCAAATGGGTCAGCTCTTTGCATCAGGTGGCCAAAGTACTGGAGTTTCAGCTTCAACATCAGTCCTTCCAATGAATATTCAGGACTGATTTCCCTTAGAATGGACTGGTTGGATCTCCTTGCAGTCCAAGGGACTCTCAAGAGTCTTCTCCAACACCACAGTTCAAAAGCATCAATTCTTCGGCATCCACACAGTCAAAAGCTTTGGCATAGTCAATAAAGCAGAAATAGATGTTTTTCTGGAACTCTCTTGCTTTTTCGATGATCAGTGAATGTTGGCAATTTGATCTCTGGTTTCTGTGCCTTTTCTAAAACCAGCCTGAACATCTGGAAGTTCACGGTGCATGTATTGCTGAAGCCTGGCTTGGAGAATTTTGAGCATTAGTTTACTAGTGTGGGAGATGAGGGCAATTTTGCGGTAGTTTGAGCATTCTTTGGCATTGTCTTTCTTAGAGACTGGAGTGAAAACTGACCTTTTCCAGTCCTATATACATATATATATGTAATACAACCATATACACATATCTGGTTTAGAAGTTGATATTCATTGTTGCGTATTTTCAGAAGAGGACTTATTGTTGGACATGAATTTTGCAGTTTTTGTTTTCTTTTGCATTGTCTGAACTTTTTTGAATGAGCGTGTCACTTGATTCTCAGGAAAAAAAAGTATTTTCACTTTTTAAACACTATATCATGAATATTCCACAACCATTAGAGATAAAATTTTAGAGGAATATTAATGATATGAGTAAATGTCTACAATGTAACTATGAAAAGAAGACTGTCAAATACTGTATATGGAGTCAATTTTGTACAGAAAATATATACATATATTGCATAAAAATATATAGATGTTTACCAAAATGTTAGCAGTGGTATCTTCAGGTAGTTGCATTGTAAATGATCATTTTTCTTCATGTTTTCTATGTTTTACAAGTTTTCTACATTGAAAAGTGGTACTATTTCTAACGTTTAAAAATATAAATTAAATAGGAAAATGTTCTTCAAAAATATAATTAAATACACACATAATGAAACTTTGTATACATAGCTACTGTAACACTAAGAACTTAAGATTTTGATCAATTTTGTGGCACTATATTTAGTTTGAGTTGTCCATGAAATGTGATAAGAAAACATGCTTTCATTATTTAAAAAGTAGTTCTAAAGTAGTTTTTAGTATCTTCTAAAAGTAGTTCATTTGAAGATAATTTTAACTTGACTAAATTGAGACTATAGGAGTTTTTCTTCCTTGAGATATAGAAATCTAGAGGGCCTAAAATATTAATATTTTAACCAATAGTTTCCGGAACAAATTGTGCCCTGTTTTATAAACAGCTAATGAAAGACTCAGGAATCATAATCTAAAATGTTTTAACTTTTTCCCATAGGCATCGTTGATTTTTTAAAATCACAATATACTAATATACATTGAGTATAAGAATTAATATTTTAAAAATTACGTTAAACCAAACTGTTGAGTTTAGCTGTCTTGATATTGTGATGAGTCTATACGATATAGACAATTCCACATAAAGGAAGAGAGAAACCACATCGGTCTCATTTTGCAAGTCAGAAACAGAGCCTCACTCCACCCTAGACCCTAATCTAATATGAAGTTGAACTTAAAGCAAAAAACTATATTGCAAGACCACTGAAAAATAATTAATAAGAGTTAAGATCAAGGGCTCTGAATATGGATTGTCCTTTTGAAGTCTAAATGAAGTTTGTTATTTCCTAGTTTGGACTCTATATGAGCCCCCCCCCCAAAAAAAAAACTTTATTTAATGCTATGGCACAAAGATTTTAGGGTTATTTAAGATAGCAGTTAGCATTAATTAATCTGACAAATGCATATCCCTACTTTATTACTTACTTCAAAGTTAATTCCATTTGAAATAAAGATCTAAGTGCAAAAAGAATCATGAAAATAGTACAAATAAACATGGATACACTTTAAACTATTGTTTGTTTCTGCCATTACAAAATGCCCAGAAGCCAATGGGGAAAGATTGTAAGTTTGAATACATAAACACTTAAAACTTCTCAAAGGAAAAAAAAAGTTACCTTAAGCAAAGTTAAAGACAGCCAGGAGTAAAAATGACTAAGGATGTTAATCTGTTAGCTGCTCAGCCGTGTCCGACTCTTCGCTAACCCATGGACTGTAGCTCACCAGGTTCCTCTGTCCATGGAATTATACAGGCAAGAATAATGGAGTGGGTATCCATTCCCTTCTCCAGGGGCATCTTCCCCACCCAAGGATCAAAC